TGGCAGTGGTGTCCACTGCTCTGCCTTCCAGCTCACTGATCCGTTCCTCTGCATCATTTTAGTCCACCATCGGTTCCTTCTATTGTATTTTTTATTTCAAAAGTTACTGCATTAACTCTGTTTGGTTGTTCTTTATGTTTTCTAATGCCATTGAAAACTTCTAACTTCGATTCTGTGCATCCATTCTTCTCCCGAGTTCTTTCATCATCCTTATAATTATTGCTCTGGACTCTTTCTCAGGTAGATCGCCTGTCTTCACTTCACTTAGCTCTTCTCCTGGGGTTTTATCTTGTTCCTTCGTCTGAAACGTGTTCCTCTGCCACCTCATTTTGATTAAGTTGCCATTGGTGTTTTTGTGGATGTGGTTGGTTAGTTATGTTTCTCAACCTTGGAGAAGTGGCCTTTGTAGGCGACGTCCCGTGTGTCCCTGGGGTGCACTCGCCCCTCGTCACCTAAGCTGCATACTCCAGGGCTTCCCGCTGAGGGGGCTGCGTGGGTCCTGCTGCTGCGGCGGGCTGACTGTGCGGGCGGTATAGGAGGCTTGGTTGGCCCGTGGTCCCACTGGTGGCCGGGCCCTGCTTTATGCAGACGCTGCAGGCTGCTTTTTAGCGGGGCCTGGTCACGAGGTGGCTGACTGCAGGAACCCAGGACACCCTGGGGGTGCTAGTGCTGGCTCGCTGGTGGGCAGAGTCAGGGTCCAGGAGACTCCAGGGCTGTTGCCCCCATCCAGGGGTGTTAGTGCCGGACTCTTGGCAGGCAGAGCCACGTCCATCTGGCTGACGGCTCAGGGGTCCCAGAGTTGGTGTCAGATTGCTGGTGGCAGAGGGCTGGTTTCTGATACAGTTGGGTATGGGATCTGAGGTGTCCCAAAGCTTGTATTGACCTGTAGTGAGCAGGGCCCGGGCGCAGGTGTTTCCAGGGCAGCGTCTGGCCCAGGCTCATACTGAATTACTGCTTTTGCCCTGGGTCCTGGGACACATGAGATTTTGTGTGTGCCCTTTAAGAGTGAAGTCTCTCTTCCAGAAATGAAGCCCAGCTGGCCTCGAAAGCCAAATGCTCTAGGGGACTTGTCTTCCCAGGGCAGGACCCCCCGGCTGGGGAGCCTGATGTGCAGCTTGGAACTCTCACTCCCATAGGAGAACCTCTTCGTTACGATTATTCTCCAGTCTGTGGTCACCCACCGGGGGGTGTGAGACTTGATTATATTGAGAGTCCTCTCCTCCTGCCCACCTCGTTGTGGTTCCTCATGTCTAGAGCTGTAGACAATCACTTCTGGTAGGTTTCAGTCTTTTTCCGTAGATGGTGGTTCTGCAGGTAGTTGTGGCTTTGGGTACCCAGGAGAGGAGGTGAGCCCAGGGTCTCTCTCCTCCGCCATCTTGGCCTGACCCAACCCCTGAGGTCAGTCTCCTGTGTGATCTTGTGCTCCTCAGTGATGTACCACCGTTGATTAACTCCTTCGTGAATCAAACATCTGGCAATTCCAAGAGATCAAGTTGAAAGAGACCTTTTTTATTCAACTCTCCATGGAATTTATAAAAAAGAAATGAAGTGTAAGTGATAGAACATTCTCAGAGAAACCTGCTCTCCACTTAAAAAAAAAAATCCCTGTTTGGCCTTTTTGGTTTGAAAAAAATTCTTTATCTCAGTATTATTCTAATAGCAGGTGATCATTATCCAGCACAAATGTTCTGTTTCATTGACATTATCTCTGAGTGATGATCCGGGGATAAACCTGAGAAAGCGGTCTTACCTACCACTTTTCTCGCTGAGTTTTAGAGACCTTGGAAATTTTATTGGACTATGTCAGACGAAATTAATGAAAGCATCTTCTATTATATCACATTTAAGCCCAGAGAATTATGATGGGAGAGTAAACTAACTCATGATAAATAGCACGTGCTAAGACGTTAGTCTGAATTTTAAATGGTGGTTTTCTAATAAATTTATCATGGGTTAGTGTTTTATTGGCCAAGAGGGGATAGTATGCTATATATACAAAAAGATGGCATTTCTCTCTGGTGCTAATAAATTGTATTCATTTCGGACAGTCATGTAGCCAAATGACGTGAATTTTTTTGAGTAAATCAGGTCAGTAGATAAAAATGACAACAAACTAGTGCTTGCTGTTTCTGAAACCTGACATCTGACCGACTGCTGCACTGGAGCTTGGGTCTGGCTTCTCAGCCATTGCACGTATTACTTTTCTAATGACTTGAAAGCATAAAATTTTCATTTTTACTCATGTGGATGGCTTGACAAATTTGTACACGCTACATAATTTCTTTCCTAGCTTAGAGCAAATATTAGAATTGCATGTTAGAAATGTTCAGCGCCTCTGCATGTCTGGAAAGGCATTAGATTTCCTTTTTTTTTGTTTTTGTTTTCTTCTCATTCTTCTTATTCCATAATATCACCACAAAACCAACAACAACTTGAGAAGAATATTTGCCACTATGTATTGAATACTTATTATTTACTGCTTACCATGCTGGGGGCTCTGTAAATCAGCTCTTCTCTTCCTTTACAAACATTTCTGTGTAGAGCTTTCCAACTGCTGAGATGAGGAAACTAGGTTTAGGGAAACCAAGTACCTGGCTTCTGAGCACACAGCTTCCTGGCACTGGAGTTGGTTTTGGCGCTGGTGTCTGCCTCCTTCCAACCCCCAAAGCTTCTCTGCCTTCCCATCTGTTGATTTAATTTGTTATTTGAAAATATGTAAACTGTATAATCCAAGCAAATGGTGGTTCCCAAAGCATGAAACTTTAAGTCCTCTTTTCCAGATAGACAACTACTCCTAGAAACGTCTTCATGCGACTTACACAGAAATATCAAGAACCGTTCAGGTCACCATGATCCTCTTTAATTCTGACTCTGTATTTTGAAATTTCAAACCGTTGTGTATTGGTATGTAGGAAAATTCATTTAAATTATATAAAATTCACTTTTATACTAAGAATGCCTTTAAAAATCAAACATCTAAGGAAATTAATTGTGCAATTAAGATTGTGGGGCAAATGTTTAGCCTATTTTGTAGGACTGGCTGATTTTAAGCACTTTAGAAGCACCATTAACATGCAAGTAATTGCTGTGCTCCTTTGAAAGTGGTCTGCTTATTATCCAGTCATTAGGCTGATCATGAAAGAATTCTTGACAATTTGTTAACCTTCTTCAAGTTACTATATTTACTTAAAAGTCACTAACCTGTGCTTTTTGAAAATATTATATAACTGCGTTGGTTTTATACTAATCATAATTGTTTCCTTCAAGTGGTTCTAATCAGTGAAGTTTTCTCCTATATTTAGAATACACTTAGGTCATAAGCAGTGGAGCATTTTTTTTCCCTTCAAAATAATCTTATTAGATATCCAGATGGAGCTGAAGTGTTGGACCACATTCAGAAATGACCAGTGGATGGATATTTTGATTAATTTCACTTAGTGACCTAAGGATTTATGATTGTAATGGCCCCTGGAACCACAGGACTACTTAAAAAAGTCATAATCCAATCAATGGTTGTTATTTGGGGGTATTGTCATTACCCTCATGAAACCAAAAGCCCTGAGTCATTTACGGCGTTCATAGTGTGACAGCTTACACCCATCTCAAAAGTCTGAATTAACAGTTTTAAAAACCTTAGTTGGTACATAAGAACCCTCTTGCTTTAAGATCAGATTTTTTTATAGTTTGTTTTTGAAACCTGTCTTGCCATTTCGAAATAGGTATACCTTTCATTACATGGTATCAAAAAGGGTAGAGGCAGAAAGAAAAATGTTATTAGAAGACCAAAAAGTTGTCAGAAAAGTTAGGTAATATTTGTCCCTGGAAGACACAATTTATTCTCTATTTTATAACCTTCAAGAATCCCTCCACAGGCAAGGAGTGGTATCTCCATCACAAGGGCATGGTTTGGGACCTTACTCATGCCCAGATACATTCCAAAATTATGTAGATTCTATACTTGAACTTGTAGAAAGATGGAAACATTGTAAGACACTAGAGCAGGTTTATAATACTGCTGACTGTCAGTTGTCAGTGGGCAGAAACAGTGCCTTGTCAGAAGAATATGGAATTTAATGCCGCGTAGGCACAGAGGACAGAGTAGCTACATAATTCGACTTCATTTTTCTCTAATAGCATAAACTTTCTATTTCCTCCCAAGCTTATATTTTTATGCAGACATTTCCAGAATTACCTAGGTGTGTGTTGTACTCATGGGTGTTCTGTGGGACGGTTATAATAATACCCTGCTCTGAACTGCACTACAGTGAGATGGAAGAGGAACCACTGTCTTGCACTATGGCCTCTAAGCTTTTGATAACTGCCATTGTCAGTGACTATCTCAACTTCATTTCCTAGGTAAATAACACTGAACTTGTTACTGCTAATTTTCTCTCAACATCTATTAAGTACCCATATTGTGAATTTGTTTTTGACATGAGAGTTAAGGTTGGTTTCCTTTTATGTTTCAGAAATGTGTCTAGGGAAGGTTTGCTCAGGGAAAATACCTGTCATGAGCCATAGAAAAGACAGATGAGTGTGTGCAGCGACTAGAAACTTCTCAGCTATGTCTGAAAAAAAAAATGAAATCAGATTGCCTGTCTGTACATGAAAACTATTGTTTAAAGTCCACAAAACAAAAAACCCCAGTATTTTTAGTCATTGTACTGACTTTTTAAAAAAAGAAATTACATAAATTAACTGGTTTTCTGTTGTTCCTAATTCCACTATTCCTCATTCAGCTATTACGCATCTTGGGAGGGGTGACAGCAGCGTTTTCTTCCTTCCTTTGCAGCTAGACGTGTTACAGAAGCAGTTTCTTTTGGGTACAAGTCCCCCTCTCTCTTGAGGATCTGTTCAACCTAGAGTACAGCCATATACCTCACTGAAGCAGATTAAAAATAAATAGGAAATCATATCACTTATACATGAAATCTAAAAAAAAAAAACGATACCGATGAACTTATTTACAAACTAGAAATAGACTCACAGACAGAAAACAAACTACAGTTACCAAAGGGGAAAAGGGTTGGGGGGAAGGATAAATGAGGAGTTTGGGACTAACATATACACACTTCTATATATAAAATAGGTAAACAGTAAGGACCTATGGTATAGCACCGTGAACTATATTCAATACCTTATCATAATCTGTAATGGAAAAGAATCTGAAAAATAATAGATACGTACGTATATGTGTAACTGAATCACTTTGCTGTGCACCTGAAACTAACACATTGTAAATCAACTATATTTCAATAAAAATAAATAAATCTAAAAAAATACACTAATTTAAAAGAAGTAGTAGAAAAAATAATCTTATCTTCTTGACATTTTTCGTGCTGTTGGAAAAGTCCCTAAGACTAGAATTCTAGAAACCACCATGTGCACATACCAACTTCCATAATGGAGGCGTTTTTTTCTCTCTGAAGGCATAATTGTCGTTTTCATAGAAAAATCATATCTGGATTCATGAATTGCTAATTACACCGCCCAATTTAGGGCAATAACTTGAATTCAGTTTCTAACAAAAACCATATTGAATAATGGCTGCCGAGCTGTTAGAAGCACAGCGGTTCTTTGGGTTCAAATGTGTCCTATTAGTGCTTGTGAGTGACCGCTCTGATGACTGCCCAGCAGACCTCCTGGTCACATCCACCCACGGCGCGCCTGTGGTCAGCGTCACTGGGGGACCTAGCAGCCTTTTCCTCGGCTACATGGCCACGGGAAGGTCAAGTAGCGCTGTGCCAACAGTTAACGGGGGATTTACTGGAGCCCTCTGCTCTCTTGCTCTGCTTCCTGGCCCCGGCCGAGCCCTCTCCCCCTCCACACCTTAAATGTGACTCCACAGAGAAGTTCTGCCCGAGCAGTTTCGCACATGTCCACGTAACAGACGGCTGGAGGCGGGAGCACAGTCGTTCAGAAACCACAATGTGGGGTGCTTGTGTGAAGGGCTAGGAGGGGGCCCATAAAGCCAGCAGATCAGAATGAGTCAGCTGCTGTGAGGAGTGGTTGAAGTAGCTTTAATGACTTCTTTTTGCTTAACTAAGGGCTAGAAGACTGAACTTCTATGAACAAGCACCATATAGAAGAATGGAAGAAAAAACGAAGTTCTTCAGAAGTATGAAATGGTGCGTTGCTAATAACAATAACGTATCGACGATGTGTATAGCATTTTATGGCTTAGAAAATGTTTTGTATTTTTTAAAAGAGATTCTTGCATAAACGCATGAGGAGAGCAGGGCTTACTGGCCACATCTGATGGAGAAGGGAGGTGCATTAAGTGACTTGCCTAAGCTAGTGAATGAAACATCGGGGACCCAAACATAATGCTTCTGGCGTGCCTATTGCTACGATGGCTATTACTGCTAAGACTCCGACAGTATTCCTGCTGCCTGATACGGTGCTTCACACAGAGAAGCTGTTCGAGAAATACTTAAGTGAATAAACGAACTGCCAGCAATTTCAAAATACTTTATTTCCATCTTTAGCCGAACAGCATTCTGATATAGGAAACCCTGGTGAGATAAACCAAGCTTTCTTCGTGTCATATGGATGAGTCTGACGGTAGAAATTTAGCAAAATCTCGTCATATGAAGACATTTCTCAAGTACCCATCGTAAGAAAAACCAAAAAAACAAAAACCACACATTTACAAGATGAGAAGTGTATAAACAAAGCTGCCCCTATGTCTTGTCATGTTCTCTTTAAGCCAAGTCTAAACCCAGCCCTGAAAATTCACCAAATTGGCAAATAATGATGTGTTTCAGTGTTTCTTTCCTCTGTGTGTGAGAAAAAGCTATGCTTAATACAGAACTCATTTTACAGTTCTCAGCTTCCATAGAGTACTCCCTGCAAAGCCCTCTTTGACTTTGTAAAGTCAGGGCCCAAACCCAGCAAACAGAAACTCCATGCATTCAGAACAGTCAGTTTCAGGTAACCGGGCACCTCCAGGACGCACAGTGAATAATCCGAAATGAATTCCCCAAAGGATGCTGATCTGTGAAACTGCTCACGGGATTAGAGGAGTGAATACAGCCCTTTGGCGGGAGCCTACGGGCCACGATTGGAAAATCCTGAAATGAAACTCTTCCTCTCCTGGTACTTACCCTTCAAATGTTGAAGAAGAATCCACGAACACAAAGCATCAATACGTTTTTATATTTTTCATGATGGATAATGCTGATTTGGAATGAGATTTGGAGGTTATTCACACTCTGGGGAATAGCCGATGCCTAAAACAGGGGAACTTATGGGAAAAACAAACAGGAATCTTCAGGACAAGTGTCTCTGGATAATGCGAGACTCTTCAGTCACATTGATGATGCAGAAAAAACTTTCTAAATAGAAACATTTTCTGCGCAGAGATTTTACGTGACACGCGTAGTTCCACACATTAAAATATATATATTTCTACAATTTCTTTCTCATTTCTTTTCACCATTTATTTTGGTATTTTTATGATATAAATTAGACTTTGATACATAGAATGCTGAAGTAGACAGTGTTGATTTTTCTTAATCCAGAATATTTTCTTCTAGAAAGAGCATTTTTTTTCCTAGAAAGAGCATCTTGTAGAGCACGTCTCTCTCTCTCCATCCCCACTCCTGCTTCCTCCCTTCCTCATGTCCCACCTGCCCCAGCGGTGCTGTTGGTCGTAGCTGTTAAGCCCTGGGTCTCCCTAGGCACAGGAGTGGCCGCTTGGTCCAGACTGGGCCAATCATCTTATTCCATCTACCTGCTCATAGTGCTGGGTCCAAGCAATGGCACATTCCCCAGAGGAGGTCGAGGAGCTCTTCCCAGGCATTGTGTGAACTGGAGCTGGTGCGAGGCTGGGAGGGTCCGGTCCAGCACCAGCTGCAGACGTGTTCTGTTCTTGGTGGAACAACTGATCTGAGGGAGCACTTTTTGCACCAGTGACCCTGGTTTGCACACGTGCTTTCTGATGTTCTTGAAGTTTGACTACGTGAACCAATACCTTTCTCATTATTGCTCAAGTTCAGTTTTGATTCCTGGAAGCTCATCGGCTCCATTAGACTGTTAGAAGCCTAGTGTTCAAGTCAGACCTCCTTGGACACTTGTGAAGATTGGTCTAGAATTGCTGAGGGTCACTTCCAACTCACTCAATTTTATTGGCCTTTAAATCTCATGTTTTGAGGATTAGGATTTACCTTTCTCTTTTCTTACCTTCAGATTTGGGATGATAAAATTATCGTGTAATTCTACACTAAGGCGCAGTGCTCATCAATAGCAGAAGGAAGAAGTCTGAAGGATGTTTTAAAAGTGTAGAATGAGTGAGTATTCTGTGCCCTGAGCACTTTCGAAGATGTTCAAGAGTAACTGGCAAATAGGTTCCACTTTCCAGCTGGTTATACATGCAGAAAGTGATGTTCGGGCACTCTGCTTTTAGTGGCTTAGACTCTGAAGTTCATAGGTGTTCAAAGTCATTACCTGAAATAATCTCTCTAATTCATGTTTTTATCTGGTAGTAACATAAAAATACAAGCTCGCAGGGAAGGAAACAGATGTAACGGGGGCATATCCATAAATACGTAAGTTTATAGTTCATACCTGTAGCATAGTCTTAGCTAATATTCTTTAAACAACATTATCTCTATTTAATTAAATACTTATATGAACAGACATCTGTAGAAAGGATTAACGTAAGATCTTCTCTTATATGAGAAATCTTCAGGTGATTTCCAGAACCCTCTATTTTTATTCTAGACCTGATTTCATTATAACCTGAAGAAAACCATAGGTTGATACTTTATCTTTACTTAACATGTGAAAATTAATATTCCCTTGGTGATTGATGTACCTCCAGAGGTACAAAACAAGAGTTGAAGACCAAGGAGCAGATTGGATAGCAGCCACTTCAAAAACTAGACTAGAACAATAACATATGTTATTATATATACAGTAATAATAATGAAGAACAATAATATTGACTATGCTTTTTCTCAGGACTTGGAACTTCTTAGAAAAATACTCTGGTGTACTTAAAATTTTGAAATGCAGTTATAGGTAGAGAAGATGCAGGAATCAAACTGGGTTGTTACCTAAACACATAATTTTGGAGTCTAACACATTCTTTGGGATTGAAAGAGTCATTAAGAAACCATTTATCTACAAGAAGTATCTGCAAGAAGCACGGAATCCAGGTGGCTATGAAGTTATATTTTAAGGAACACTCAGTGAGGAAGCACAGCCAGCTTGAACTGAGAGTTGTGAATAAGCAGTACAGCGATTTCATCTTAATTCAGTAAACATTTTCCTTCTTGAAACTGAAGCAAAAACTCCAACATATAAATTTCCAAAAGCTCACTTTATAATTTAACATGAATGCAGTGAACTTTACAAAGAAAATAAGATTACTTAAAAAATTTTTAAAGCAGAAGAGTTGTGCAAAAATGAGAAGATGCATTTTGGTCCATTTTCCCTTCCCTCTGCATTGGGTAAGAATGTGTCCAGGAATATAAGAAAATGTGTCTACTTGAGACACACAGATAATATGAATAATATTGATGATTTTGTGAAATAATTTGTCTGAATATATAGGCTTGGAGGGCAGTGGCTTAGCAATCAAAATATCTTTGCCATGATAAGAAAAACTTTCCAGTCATATGATTTTGATAGTTTCTTAAAACAGATGACATAGTTTATTCTTAGCGACCTTTCATGTTACCTAGAGAAGTCGTCTTTTTTTTTTTTTTTTGCTACCCTGCGTCCATTTCTACTTCCTTCTGATAATGAGACATGGCACCTCCCCTCATGTATGCTCCTCCCATGGGCTTCAAGACAATTGACATCACCCCTGGGCTTTGGGAGAGGAGTGAGTGAACAAGACTAAGAACATAGCAAATTCCAACCATTTAATTATGGCGATTGGTTCAGGGATGGACCCATGATTCACACCTGTCCAATGAAAGACAATCCCGGAACTACTGTTTGTGGTATCCAGGAAGCAGTTACCTCTCATTGTATCTTCCTGGTGCAACCTGAAAATGAAAGATGTGAGTGCAGTGAGTCTACCCTAAATTGTTCAGGTACCCGAGCCAGTGTAGTTTTTTTTTTTTTTATATTTAAGAAAGGAGTTTAAATTGGATTTCCTGTTGAGTACAGCAGACAGAGTTCTTACTGACACGTTACTGCTACAGAACCAGACGTGGGTCCGCTCACCCGTGTGCCATGAAGGCAGTCTGCTGACACCGGGTTGTAGCGAAGGAGAGCGCAGATCATTGCAGGATGCCAGGTGAGGAGGAGCCCGGGGCAGCCAGTGCTTACCGGCCATGAACTCCCTGATGGCTTTCAGGGAGAAGTTCCTAAAGACTGGGTGGGAGGGTGGGGTGGGGTGCACGATCAGCTCGTGGACATTCCGCTGACTGTTGGTGGTGAGGTCATTGGGAGTCACCATGATCAGCCTTCTGGTTCCGCCGGGTCTGGGGTCTGTGTGTTTGTGGGCAGCATACAGTTAACTCCTTTCACCTAGTGAAGGTTTAAGTGTCTGCAAAACAGCTCCAAGGATATGGCTCCGAATATCATCTGTAGCCTTTGAGGAGGAACTAAAGGTCCTCAACTTGGTTTAATGGCTAAACTACTACAGTTTTGTCTTCTTTGACTGTTTCTCTTTGCTTCTGTATTTTCTCACTTCTCTGATTAAATTTATTCCTTGGAACTTGGGGAAGGCCTGAGAGACTAAAGATGGTTTTTTGTTTTGTTTTTATTTTTTCTTTTTACAAACAAGAGGCAGGCAGAGGAGGAGGGTGTGGGTGGGGGTGTGGGTCTGTCCCAGGAGGGCCCCATAGGGTCCTGCTTGGTTACATTATGAGAACAGAAACCAACTAGGGAGCTTGTTAAAATGACAGATTCAAGGACTAGACTAACTGAATCAGTATCTCTAGAATTTGGAGCCTAGGGTTTGGTATTTTAATAAGAGTTCCAGGTAAATTTTATAATCACTCAATTTTGAGAAACACTCTCCAGGAATTCCTTAAGACTAACAGTTGCGTGTTACTCAATTTGGTGATAAAAAGCACATATTTTAGAGCTGACAGAAGTGGGTTCAAGGTCCAGCTCGACACTAATTAGGTGACTTGTGGCAAAATACATCATTACCCTAGTTTCAATT